GGGATTGAAGATGAGGTTACGAACCGTATAGCAAAGGCTCGAGGTGCTTTTGTCAATCTCCGCCACCTGTGGCGCAAACGCGACATTACTCTCGCTTTGAAGGGCAGAGTTTACAAAGCAGCCGTCCGTTCAACTCTCCTATATGGCTGTGAAACCTGGCCCATCAGGTCGACAGACATAAAGAGGCTCGTCATATTCGATCATCGCTGACTCCGCAGCTTAGCTCATGTCTGGTGGGAGCACCGCGTGAGCAATGAGCGTGTTCGACGTCGCGTATTTAGTGCAGGAAGAGCGAGTGAACCGCTCAGCACCATTATATCACGCACCAGGCTCCGATGGCTGGGCCACTTGTTGCGCATGCCAGCACACCGACTCCCGCGACGTGCATTGTTTGCGCGTTGCGGATGCGGTTGGAAGAGGAGGAGGGGAGGCCAAGTGATGACTTGGTCGAGAGAAATGAAGCCCTCACTTCGAAGTTGGCGTCAGTTGGTGCATCGCGACTGCCTGGCTGGAGTCCTAAGGATGGTGAACACGTTTGGTCGGACACATTTGCTGATATGGCTTGGGGCCGGCCCCAATGGCGTTTTTGTTGTGAGTTCCTTTGTTCATCCCCCTCCTGCTTAGCATCCCCTCCAATTACGATCTCACTTGTTAGGCATAATATGACTCTCTTTTACGGAAGCCAGCTGCAAGCTTGCCGGAAAGATGTCCATCCGTTACTGGGGACTCAGCGGGCGTACCACTGTTTTCCTTTTCGTCTTTTGTATTGCGGCACAATAGCTGAGGTGTTTTCCACCTCCAGGTAACGTGTAATAATGATGATGATGATGATGAATAACCACTGCTGGACACGAGATCACAAATAAAAGCTGTTCAAACCACGAAGGCTCTAAGCTCACTCAAACCTCACCTTGTCCACCCGGGTGGTGAATGAGTGGTACAGTTTACCAAAGGAAATTGTTGACGCACCTTCGGTGGAATGTTTCAAGAGGCTTTTAAACAAACACTTAAGGACGACGTTGGGATCCTGCTTCTCCCGCTGTAACTGCGACGATCTCTGGAGAAACGTCGTCACACCATGACATGTAGCCATCCCACATTGAATAGGAACTGAAGGAGCTGAAAAGGGTTCTCCCCTCTGCTCTCTATAACCCAATGAAGCAATGAATGAGCCATGCCAACAACAAAAAGAACGAGAGCGTTGGATCAATCGAAAATAGCTGATCGTAATTTGGGGGCGGTACCGCCTGCTGTACTGCCTGCTCAAGTTCAAGTTCAAGTGGGACTGGAACGATAGGATGAATCCTGTAAGTGTTCCTACTTAATCGGGTCGTCGATCCATGAGTTGATAGGGTTGCTCCGACTTCTTGATGGGTCTAAAAGGAAAACACCCCAAAAAACACCCCGGTCCACCAATTTAATGCCCAATTGGAACATTGTATTTAATGGGAATAAAAGCTCGAGCTTTACATGATCCATAGGGTAAAAAGAGTTCGGGTCGGGTCTAATGAAAGGCCAAGCAACCTTATAGCGGGTTGGACTCGCGTGTTAGCCGTATCTTCATCGGGCTTATGCGGCATTTAAACAGAATGCACGCCGGCTCAAAGCGAGACATCCCACCACGCCCTCCGAAACGGCTTTGGAAAGGAAGTAGATAGAAGAAAAAAGAAATTCCATCCAGCGGTGTAACTCGGCCAGAGGACAGTCCAGGCGGGTCTTAAAGTCCGCCACAGTGGGTCGGCAGGCAAGGCATTCCACGGTCGGCAGATTCGCAAAGCGAAGTAGTGTCGTCTGCAGTTCAACCGACTGTGCTGTGTGAGCCTCAGTGGGTGACCACGTAGGTGGGAGCACGATTGGTGCAGTGTGACAAGTTCCTCAAGCTGCGCTACTCTATTTAAGACGAGCTTTAGTTCCACGTTTTTGGTGCTTGATTTTATCTTGGGTCGTGAGGAAATCTTCTTTGAGGCCTTGTTCTCAGCTGTGGTTGTCCTTGTTTTTGCCGAGGTGATAGCGCTCGCGACTGCGGCATAGGACTTGGGCTTATGCATAAGTCCATTCCCGTTCTCACTGGGCAACGGTGTTAAGTCCATCGTGGTGGACGACGCGCGGCTTCGTTTCCCTTTCGGTGTAGAATACCCAGACGACGTCAGACACACTGCAGAGTGAGGTGTCTCGCTGTCCGAGTTAGAGACGGCTTGCGCGGAAGCAGTATGTACGTCGAAAGGGTTCGTCAGAAGTTGCTTGTCGTTGACCAATGTTGGACACGAATCGCAGTGAAAGTTGATGCCTTTAGAGGTAGTGCGCTGAAGACATTGGTAAAGATCATTGTTAATGTTACAGCAGACTATATGCATCCATCTGTCGCACAGTGCGCATTGGACGGCCTTTGAACGTGAGGTGACACCCTTCCCACAGTCCACGCACATGGATGTCATATCTTCCCAAAGAAAAATTTGACTAAAGTCAAATTCCGTCAAAAGTGTCTATTCAAACACTTTTCTTCACGAGAATTTCACCTAAAAGTCTCGAAAGTATAGCACGTCAGAAAGAGAAGCTACCGCGTAGTACTCACAGAGAACTGTGATAGCATTTTTTACTTGTCAACTTGCAGGCCGGTACAGCTTTCGTGATACCAGCGACAGCAGACGCCACACTACATACCGCCAGATAAATCAGTTACAGTTTGAACAGTTAACCTGTCCGCAAGCTGGGGTAAACTCATCAAAAGAGGACCCCATGGGTCCCTGCGAATCGGTGTTTAGCGAGACAGCCATGTTCATGTGGAAAACAGTAGAAATACCACACGTACACAATAAAACGACCGCAATGAAATGGCAAAAACAAGGTGCAAAAAGCTGCCCGGTAGTCGCAGTCCTAGCAGGGTACTTTAAAGATGGTGACGTTTGTTGATTGGTCGGACGGGAGTGAAACAATTGACCTCTAGACTCTGGCATTCTAATCTGGTGTAACCTTAAAACTGTGTTTTAGTGTGCTAAAAAGCTATCAACCGTTTGCCGCCGATTCGAATGCTTAGCAATACGGTTAGCAAAATGCTGTAAATTTGGTAACTTAATTAGACAAAGAAATTTCCACAACCTTATGTCTAATATTGCACAGTGAGCGCATTGTAATGCTAAAAGTCAAAATAAGGTCGCCTGTTTTCATGGATGCTGCATTTAACTAATTCGCAGTCTTGGAAGTCCGTTAAAAACATTGGATTTCCGAAACTTATACCGTAAAAGCTTTTTTTGTGACAAGCTTGTTGTCACGAGCGTCCGTTATTAGTCCGTGGGTTATCTTTTATGCGTTTTCTTGGCGTCATGTCTAGATGTTGTTAAACGCAAAACAGAACACAGACGAGATGTGCAGCAAAACGGTTTTGAAATGAATGCAAACTGGTGTCCACTCAATCAGCTGGGCCCGCTGTGTTGCAAAATTGCTAATATCCAACTGGCGTTACTATGCGTCCACGTATCGATGGAGAAACATCGAAGTGTGTAATGCATGCAGCTATATTTGCCTTAAATATGCGCAACAGTAATGCAATATTGGCAACTAAAGTAGAAATCATTCACTACAAGGTATAAAAGACAAGCATACCGTTTCGGAGCCCATTTATTAAAAATTCAAGCCGTCCAATTTTAGTATCGTCCTGGACTATTTAATTAGTCTGCTATTGTGCCGATATTTTTAGCCTCGGAATTTTAATGTGAAACGCATTATTAATATAATGAAATAAGTAACACTTGGGTTTTTGTGAGTTTCATAGCAGTGCATTCATCATAGCAGACATAATTAAGTGGCTTCTTTAACAGCGAAGATTTTGTAAAATCATAGGAATCTTATGCAGCATTATTGTAGCTATGAATTAGCATTTTATCCAAACATATGTACAGCAAGCCCTCCCACTGAAGCGTGCTTTTGGCCACTCGCGTAGAAGCAAAAGGAGATAAAGATAAATGTCTTTATATGTCCATGGATATTGTTAACTAATATTCTAAATAATTATCGGCGCTGTTTAGTGCGTTAACTCCTTCTTTTTAACCGTACTTTCGGTCAGCACAAGTGACTTTTAGCGCGCCATGTGTGACGAATAATTCGTCACTGTGTTAGTACGTACTTACTAGTCTGTACTCGATTAGCGCGTAACGTTGACGGAATATGCATCCCTTCAGCTCGAGCAGCGAAAGCGTGTGCCGTCGTGTGTGTTGTAACTCCCTAAATGACCAGACTTTTGGCCCTCAGCAGTGCAAATGTACACCTTATGGACGACCTTTTGGTCACCCAGTATATCTTCCAACGCCGCTTGAACTCCAGCAACGAAAATTTCATGGTAAAAATATCGTAAACACGAAGCGGAAAGCCACATATTAATTATAATTACGCAATGCAGTAGCCGCAAACCCAAACCCTAAATTGATTTTGAATTACCAATTCTCGACCAAACGACCACGAGACTTCGAGCGGTGTGCTATTACAACCCAACTGCGTCCTATTACATCGGCACCAAATGTGCCACTGATGGAGCCTATATACAACGACCACGGGACTTGGAACGGTGTGCTATTACAACCCACTTGTGTCCTATTACATCGGCACCAAATGTGCCACTGATGGAGCCTATATACAACGACCACGAGACTTCGAGCCGTATGCTATTACAACCCAACTGGGTCCTATTACGTTGACACCAAATGTGCCACTGATGGAGCCTATATACAACGACCACGAGACTTCGAGCCGTATGCTATTACAACCCAACTGCGTCCTATTACGTTGACACCAAATGTGCCACTGATGGAGCCTATATACAACGACCACGAGACTTCGAGCCGTATGCTATTACAACCCAACTGCGTCCTATTACGTTGACACCAAATGTGCCACTGATGGAGCCTATATACAACCGACCTGGGTCCTATTACACTGGCAACAAACGTGCCGCTAGTCCAGTTCATTGTTCAAAACGCTGTAATCCCAAATGAGCGGAGAAACCGATATAAAAACTGTGCATTGTATTTAACAAAAGGCAGCGAGAGAAGGTTCAGCGTTGTTCACTATATTCGTGCCTTGGACGCGCATGTCCCATGCAAGGTATCTTTACACAAAGTCGTATTCATCGGCTAAAATATAATAGTAGTGCGAACATATAGTCTACTGTCGGGTAATTGAATGAGAGTTTTTATCTGAACAAGTTTTTTCTTTGCGTTTTCTTTACTGGGCTGGCATCCATGTCGACGCTACAATGAAGTGAAAATGGGAGTTTAAATTGCACCGAATAGCTTACTTTGGCACTCTATTCTGCACAATACCTCTGTTTGAGGGGAACTCCACGGCTCCTTTTCGACAAGCTATCGATGAAAGGTAAGGAAATAGATCACCAGTACCAAGTGCACGTGCAATATGGGGTACGGTTTGTTGACTTGTACTCGGATCGGCGGTAATCTCATCCTGACTGTCTGCGCAGGAAATAGTTATACTAAGCTGTCTCTTACCTTCGTAAGCGGGGCAGGTTGATGGGGTAGAGGCAACTGTGAAATCCGGTGAGGGTGAACGGCCAACAGCTAAATATCGAGGTAAAAAGTTGCTTTCTTACCGGTAGTACAGCATTGCACTGCCATCATGGGCACAGATACCGTTTGTGAAGCATTGACACAAATTGTACAACGGGCTCCTGATTGCACACGCAAACACTTTCGATGGTAAAGTAACCGATTGTGCGCACAGCGAACTGCGTCAATCACAACAGGCTTGCTGCATGTGAAACACAAATCTGTGGGCGCCATAATTTTCGGCCAACGCGGTTGTTTCTTTGCACGTTGAAAGTCTGACGAATCACCAATTACTTCGTTAGTCCTTCGCAATAGCTCTTGATACAGTACCGAAAATCCGGATGGATTAACCTCTTCAGCACTTCTCAGACGATGTACAAGATGTGCAATTTTAGACGTAGATGGTTTCGTAACGGGGACTTTCAACGTCCGCAACGGCATGGACTCTGTGGGTAGGTTGTAGTCCGCCAGCCAGCGGATGCAAATAGGTATTTGGCCTGCAAATGGATGCACATATCAGAAACGGCTTACTTGTCGGATACGCGTGCTGCTTGTATGCCGCCATTAAATGCACACACGGAAGCCACATGGTTTCATAAAAAGGACAGGTACATGTTCCCAAGGAGCAATCGATGGTGAAGCGGTTTCCCTGGTGCGATATCTCAAACTGGAAGCGTCAGAAATCTTTATTCACATACCACTCCATCTCCAAGGTCCGAGTAAACTGCTTGTAACATGGGTTGTGCTAAATGGCGCATCACTAAGTTGCATGCGTACGTAGTTAAGAGGCAAACTACGCGATGAACATATGCGCTGCCTTCTAGTAGCTGACGCCTGTCACAGAAAAACGCGGCATGCATCTGGGACTCTTTCAGGAGAACTTCCGAATGCGCCCAGACTTTGCGAACGGCTGCAACAAGGCCATCCGATGCATGGGTAACTTTCTTCAATCGCAAGTTGGCATTCTCAACTCGGTTGTTCGTTGTATTGCCAAAATGCACCAGTCCAGCTTGTGCGTGTTTCGCCCACGAGCGTTTTATGTACAACCAGTACAACGTAAGGTAGCGCACAAAGTGGGGGTCTGTTCTTTGAAGGAGCTTCAAATCTTGTTGAAATCTAAAACAAGAATATTACATATATAAAGAGATTTTACTCCGTCTCCGTGTCAGAAGTTGCCATGCGATGAAACAGATAACGCGACCGGTTAATGTTTGTCTACAGAATGAAACGAAGATTTATCACTTACATGCTTCCTGATGGCCTGGCGGATGTGGAAGTAACACAACAAAATGTCGCATTGAAAAACGGCGCGCGCCGCACGTATTTGAGCGGCCATTTTGTCCATCATTATTGTGCGGACGGGAATATCATGACCCATGATATCCCGAAACGCTTCGAACAACGTAAGCAATGATGCGTAATCTTCCCGACGCAGAAACGCATAAAATATTGGCCGGCCATACCCCATGCCGTCAGTTATTAAAAACTGGTATAGTTTGAAGCTGCAAGCAACAAGTAAGCCCGCTATCAATTCTTACTTCAAACGGTTAGTGCCATGAGTAGCGTCTACACAAACGACATGCGAGAATCGGCGGAAAAGTTCTATTTGTTGATGCCGAGCGAATAATACGTGTGTGCACAAGCCTTCCTCAGAAATAATTCGCGCAACTCCGTCTTCTTCCATAGACTTGATAACCTGATGCAATTTTACTGCAGGAAATAAAAACTATCAAAATAAACTTACACTCAACGCCAGGTCTCAGTTTACGACGAACATTGCGGACATCATCGCTGGTAATATGCTTTCCGAATCGAACCTCGACGAACTGCTTGATGTCGCTTGTTGGGGTGTTGTAGCGGAAAAGGTCTACGGACTGAGTGAACTCATCGTCCGTCAGACGGCGATTGATGGGGTGTCGCTCAAAAAGAAGGCGATTAACTGGGTGATTGTGAGACAGATCGAACGTTGTGACTTTCAGCTTGCGTCCCGTTCTAATGAGGTTAACGCGAGCTTGGCAGTTAGTATCACGTGAGCTGAAAGATGTAGAATAATAGAAGCGAAATCCTACTAAACACGTCTCACTCCTGTACTTTTTGACTTCCGCCGAGCGCAGCGGACACATCGATAAATCACCTTGTCGTACTTCACCCGTGACAGGTTACATTTTTTGCTGCTGTAGCGTACGAAATTGACGTAATGAAGAAGCATAAAGTCTGAAAACAAACTATTAAACTCGTCAAAACTGTCAAAAGAACGCCCAAAGAAGATTCTCCGGAAATCAGACTCCATGGCGTACGATTTCGAAAATACTGTTTCTACCGCGTATCTGGTTTCCGACACATTTAAACAATTGCAATAACACATTTGCAGAGATTTAAATAAAACTGCAAAGGCAGAAAGATAGCCGGGAATAATGCCATAAAATGACCATAAACTATTTATTGCGCACTAGGTTTTGCGGGGTAACGGTGCGTATCTGACTTCTTGGGCCAGCCTTTCAGTCGCAATTTTCTAAGAAAGGCTAAATTGTTAGCCACTACTGTTATTTCCCTTGTTTCCACCCTCCACTTTTACGATCTAATTTTGGCTTGCTTATTCTTTTCCATGAGCCCGCTACTAATGGACGCTCGAAATGCGGTGACGTGACCAAAGAAAATGGATCAAATTTCCTCTAGTGGTGCATTTTCCATCAAAAATAACACAATCCATTGGCATAATAGATTGATAGTTTACTAATGGAATCAGGCACCTCAAGGTTTGGCAGCGGTAGCCGGTGCAAAGTGCAGAATTCGTATATAAGCTACGGAGACCCAAACTTCAAAAATGTCGGGGCCTACGAATCGTTTGTATTTATCCCTGCTTTACTGTTCGGAAAGATAAACACGATCAAAAGCAGTTGTTAACGATATTTCTTCTCCATGCATGAGCATGGATGTTATGTACAATTTGATCTGATCCCACGCAGGCACAGCATTTAGCGCTTGTCTAGAAATATACCTATATTTATTTATTTATTTATTTATTGGAGACGAGCAGTTCTGAGATGTTGCTTACATTTATTTCTAATCTCTCGATAACTAGCATAGGTGCTGGCTGATGGAGCTGCTTGGTAGGTTCGTCAGCTTCTAGTCCGTTTCTTGAGTAGGTAATTGCCTGTGGTATCTATCCATGGAGGCTGTGCTCTTAACCCTCTTTTCCTCATGAGTGGAATATAGGGAGTGGAAACCTCTGTAAAGTATACCTTAAATGTATCCCAGGCTAACTGGACAGAGTCAGTCATCGAGATCTCACAGTTCAGAACTGAAGCCTTAGTTCGCGTTGCACTAAAGTCCGCCCGCCAAATATTCGGAAGTAATTCAACAGCGGTTTTTTGGTGCCTTAAAAGAGCACATCGAAAGGATATGCATGCGTGATCGCTAGACCCTAGATGTGCACCGCATGAAACATCAGTCACGAAGTCCAGGGACTTAGCGAAAACCAAATCCAAAGCAGATGGTATTTGGTTGTCCATAAACCTAGTGGGAAAGTCAACGAACTGGTGCAAAGGCACTGGGAGAGTCAGTTCAAGGACGTCTGCGCCGAATGTTCCTTATGCCGAATTGCAAGAAAGATCGGCCCAACAGACTTCCGGGAGTTTGAAATCCCCTAGAACAAAATGCTTATTCGCAGACTGAGTGCGAATAAAGTCAAGTATCCCCTGGAAGAACTTCCAGGACTTCTGTACATCACTGTAGCTGTAAACTGGCTAGAGGAAGTGCACTAAACAGCCGATAGAGCTCCAACAGTCTGATCCGATGGCTGGAATGTGCAGGTCCTCAACAGATCTATGTTACAGCTCACAGAGTATAACACGCCTCCGCCCTGGCGACCAGCGGAACGATCAGTTCTAAGCAGCGCGTAGCCAGGTAAATACACCTCACCATCCGTGATATCCGGAGACAACCACGTTTCAGTGAAAGCAAGTATGTCGTACGAGATTGTGCACAAGTAGACCCAACTCGTGCACCTTGTTCCTTAGGCTACGCACGTTGCTAAGTACTACCTCAAGGAAGTCGGCACGACCATCCCTGGGTCGTGCGCCATCAGGATGGGTTCTGATAGGGCGGAAAATAACTTCAGGCTGACCACCTGAAAACCCACCAGACGAAGGCCTTGCTCACCAGCCGCCGTCTAGTTTTGAGGTCTATGATAGCCTCTTTTAACTTCAATCTATCTGCCAGTAGTAGGTCCGGCTGAACGCTGACACCACTACCCTTAAGTTTGAATGCAACCCGCAGTAATGATTTGCGTTCCTCCGGGGCAGAGAAGACTACGCGAAGTAGTCGGGGTCGTGGATTTGGCGTAGCAATAGGGACTTTCCCCAATCTGGTCAGCTTTCCGACAGTGACACCAGGGGAGTCAGGTGGAAGTAGCTTGCTGACACACAGTTTCAGCCACTTGATGTCATCCAAGATGCGTTCCCTTGGCAGAGCGGTCGCAAATCCAGTAACGTTACGGAACATAACGCTACTATCCGTGAAAAAGTCGTCACGACGGGGAGTGTTTACCCCACGTGCCTTGGAGTCGACACCTATACAAGCTGTTTTCACCAACGGCGGTGGGACTGTCCCTGTCTTCACAAACGACACCGAAGCAACGGTAGGGTAGGATTGCCACTCTAATGCTGGCGTCTTACTAGTTCCTGGGTCTTCAAGCCCCTTCAAAGTTTTTCGAGCAGATCTAGTCCGCTTCTTCTTTTGGTTCACTGGAGCAGGGGCCGTTGACTTTGTATCGCATTTAGCAGTTACCAGCACTTCGTCAGGACTGGCTGGTTCAGTGGCGGCTGAGACGGTCAGCATCTTCGGAAGGTTCTGTTTACAATCGTCAGACGACTTTACGACTGTCAAAGACGGCATCCTTTCGATGCCGTGGCAACTAAATCTCTGGGTCTAGCAGACTGATTTTGGTATTTCCGCATCCTATTTTTCTTCACTTTGATCGGCTCATGAGAATAGCCAGCAACGCTACCTGGATTATCCGGTAGAATGTGCGACTTTATGATCGAATGACAGACTCCAGTGGATGGATCGTCATCAATGTTGCCGTCTATTGCATTGTCTTCAAACGAAATATTCAGGGATTTTAAAACCAATTCCATTTTCATATCGAGCGACGTAATAGAGGCGACTTTGGCTATCGCCTCCTCAACATCTGCCAAACTTGAAGCCAGCGCTGAAAGTTTAGCACCGGTGACAGCCGGGCGCGTCGATCTTTGAGCGCAGCATTCAGCACAGCTGAAAAGAAAGTGAACACTTAATGATAGCATTTTGTACTGGTCAGCTTGTAGGCCGGTACAGCTTTCGTGGTACCAGCGGCAGCAGACGTCACACTGCATACCGCCAGCTAAATCTGCTACTGGCTCTGAACAGTTAACCTGTCCGCATGCTGCAGTAGACTCATCAAACGAGGACCCCATAGGTCCATCCGCTTAGGTGTTTAGCGGGACAGCCAAGTTCATGTGGAAAAAAGTAGAATTACAACGCGTATACCATAGTAAAACGACCGCAATAAAAGTGCAAAAACAGGGTACAAAACGGTATTAAAACTGGGAACAACCGGAAAAATTACCTGCAATCGCCAAGACGCTTTGGCCAGTACTACCTTAATCGATGCAAGTTATCTTGGATCAGAGAAAATTGGACAATGGTCAAATTTCGTTTCAAGTGTTTATTCAAACACTGTTTTCCACGTTATTTCAGCTAAAAAGCTCGATCAGTATGGCACGCAAATAATCGAGTTATCAATTATTGATCACAGAGCAAAATGTCGGAACTAATAATGTGCGGGCCATTCATCCTGGATATTGATCAATGGTGATGCAAGCGGAACGAAGTATACAGATAGCAGGATATATAATGTATAAGCGGTAGCAGTATGAGAAATAATGTTAAATTGCAGGGAAAAATGAAATACCATATATTCCAGGTAGAATGGACATATGTATGTCGTCCGAATGGTAGGGATAATTTTTCATTTATTTTATTATACCTAGTATGATAATGGAACTGAGGAAAAACGGTGCAATATACTATGAACATAAGTACATGTCCCAAGACAAAATGGAAAAATATCTATATATATATATATATAAATATAAATATATTGATATATAAATGCATGATAACACATGTATATATATTATATATATAAACCTGTTTTATTAATGGAGCGCATATGGATATTTTCAATGATGACTTACATGGGAAATGTCATAACGCGTTTCTCGATCGGTAACGGGGTGTATTTCCTATGTGTGGAGGCCTATTTCGTCCGTGGAATATCAGCGCTGGTAATCAGCATGGAACACAAGAACAGGCTATGGCCATGATTGTTGCTACCTGCACTTGTGAACTGCGATGTGAGCCTGCATATTGCGTCCGGGTGAGCAACAAGCACGGAACCTTTCTAAAAGTTAAGGAGCAGGTAATTAAGCATGTATTGTATGTAAGCGTAAATGTGCTCACGTTGACACACTTGAGGCATACCGAATAATGAAATGGGTGATAATTTGTGGGATAATGTACGCGCATTGTTAAATCGAGCGACTTGTGTATATAGCATTGGTAGGCGTAGTAGCACATGCATGAACGCGGTGTGTTGAAGTTTTATGGGGCGAAAAATAAGCGCTTGCAACACCACGTGTAAGTTACCGAAGATACCAGGCGGGCAGGTATCAATTTCCCGTTTCTGAATACAATGGCATAGGAGGCGTTGCGCCGAGCGAAAAAGGTGCACAGCAAAAGGAGACGTATGCGTTACTGGGACGGTAGTTTGGTAGTGAGACCAGACAATAAAACCAAATGGCACCGCTGTAGTCTGAGTTGGGAGTGTTCGAATTCTCCTAACTTTCAAAGGGACAACACTGAGAAATGAATGAATGAAATGAATGAACCTACGTCTGACGTGTAAAATAATGCAGACGACTGGGAAATATAACACGACTTGTTGCGGAATCCCCACCCCACTCACAAATACCGCCATTTTCGGGGTGCTACAAAGGTGATTGCCAGCATAATCAATGACATGTACCATGATACAAACCCGCTGTTTACAGATAACCCAGCGATTTAAAAGACGGTACACACAAACCTTACTTGAGAAATCTTATCCCCAGCGCCTTACAATGCTACCAATGATGACTGAAGTGCCTAACCCATACCTACCCATTCCCCTTCCTCAATCCCTGAACTTTGCAGGCTTTGGCTGGGCACAACTCACGGGAATACAGGGCGAGGCGGTTCTCTATCAACTGCACAGCCTTAACAGGTTAATATTGTCTGGCAT